TCGTTGGACTCAAATGACCCAAGCAGCCAATGAGGAAAGCACTGTTCTACTAAGAAAAATATAAACAAGATGGGGGTATAAGAGAATCTTAATTCCTCACCAACATATTAAAGATGTATTATATGACATATTCTATATGCTACTCACCTAATAAATTCAATAAAGATGTTAAAGCACTTATTATGAACAAGGCTACAAGACTGAAGGATGGGAAATACAAAGCTAAATAAGGGATTCTCCCTGTCCTTAGCATGCTTATAATCTAGGAAGTGAGAGAATATGAAAGTATTTATTGACAACCATAATAACAAAGCCATATGAGATTAGTGCCCAAACAAAGGTCCATAACAATTCTGAAGTGATCTGTTTGTGTGATCAATGACAGGCAATTCACTTCCCCTCTTTGGGACCTCACTTTAAAGTGAGGCTGCTGACTTTGCACAGCCCTCTCTCACTTAAATCCAATTCACTTGCATATCATAGCATCACCTCCGTGATGTCATATTCCTCTTCGAGAATGAAGGATAAAGAACAGCTGAGAAATGAAAGGGTTGTACTGGATGAAACTTTGAGGTTCCTTCTATCTCTAAACCTATGAAACTGTTGGGTTTTGGATTTTTCACTCTTTCCTTGTGATGTTCAAATTACATGGTGAACTTGACCCTGGCTCTATATTAATCGTATAGAGATTCCTGACTACTACAGAAGCTCCATTTAACTCAGGCTTTAACATAAGAGATTGCAGTTGAGCTGGGCTTTGAAGGAGGGCAAAACTTTGGACAGCAACATGAAAAGATGACATTTCACAGAATGGAAAATTTTGTAAAGTCTTCTCTATATCTTTACTCACAAGTCTCATAGCAACCTCATAGGTTTGATCATTCCTTTTTTACAGATCAGGAACATGAGACCCAGAGAGGTTCAGTGACTTCATCATGGGTCACAAAGGCAGCAAGTCCCAGAGCCAGGATGTAACCCACATCTTCCTGACTCTGTCTAGTACACCACAAGTGAAAGGGCCAAGGAAAATGTGTACATGGGGACAAATTAGGTAGCGAGAAGGAAGCAGGAAAATAAGTAGACCTATTTGGGGGAACCATGAATAGTCTAGCTTGACTACAGCAAAAAGCGTACATGAAGTAAAGTAGTATGGAATAAGGTTGGGAAAGTATGATGTATATTATTATTGTGGGGCTCAGAATCCTTGAATGTCATACATGAAACTTGGTAGATTGGGAGAATAAGGTTATATATCAGTGACAGAAACAGAAATGTCAGGGAGAGAGACAGATTTTTTGATGGGGTGGAGGGAATATGATGAGCCTGGTTTTGGACACATGGTATTTGAAGTGGCAACTGTACACCAAGGTAGAAATATCTAGTAAACATCTAGGGAATATATTGAATAGAGTGCTGAGCTTAAAGTTAGGAAGATATGAGTTCAAATATTTCCTCATAAGTGACTCTGGACTACTTCCTTAACATCTCTCATCTTATTTTCAACATTTGTAAAATGAAGATAATAATAACATCTAACTCACAGAATTGTTGTGGGATCAAATGTAAAAATTTTACATACATACATATAAATACACACACACACACACACACACACACACATATATATATATATATATATATATACACACATATAGTACTTTGTAAATCTTAGGAGCAATATAAATGTTAGTTATTATTGATGTTGTTGTTACTGTTGTTGTTATTCATAAATTTGGTTCTGGGGGCACCTAGGTGGTGCAGTGGATACAGTACTGCCCCTGGAATCAGGAGAACCTGAGATCAAATCTGGCCTCAGACACTACTAGCTGTGTGATCTTGGGCAAGTCACTTAATCCCAATTGCCTCCTCCTACCCCCAAAATAAATATGGTTCTGGAGATCAGGAGGGAGAATGGAGTTGCTAGTGGGATAGAGTTAGAGGCTGCAGAATGACAAGATTTCAGAACTGAAAGGGGCTAGAGATCATGTAGCCTAACTTTATAATTTTACATAAAAGAAACTGAAGACAAGAGGTCAAGTGAATTGTTTAGAGTCACACAGCAAGTTAAAGGGAGAGCTGGAACTAGAACTGCCTCCCAGTCCAGGTGTTCCTTAGGAGCCCACTACACTGCATCTCCTAATGAACATTTTATGGTAAAGGTGAAATTTGAGTCTCCTTTTCTGCGAGGTGACAGTTGAAATTTTAAGAATGGAGGAGTCTACTAAGGAAAGGGATAAAATGAAGAAAAAGGCACAAGGACGCAGCCATGGGGACTGCTTAAATTTAGGGTATGTGAGGTGGAACAAAAGTCAAAGAAGTAGCCCAGGAGGTGAAAGAGGCGGAGACTCATGAAAGGGCATCTTTTTTTTTTTTGCTTTTAGGCAATTGGGGTTAAGTGACTTGCCCAGGGTCACACAGCTAGGAAGTGTCAAGTGTTTGGTCTGAGGCCAGATTTGAACTCCTGACTTCAGGGCCGGTGCTCTATCCACTGCACCACCTAGCTGCCCCCATGAGAGGGCATCTTCAAGGACATAAGAGAGAACAGTGGGTTGAGGAGATGGTAGTGAATGGTGTCCCTTACTGCAGAAAGGTCAAAGAAGGTTTGATGTGGTTAACTGGAAAGGTATTGGTGACTAATAACAGCACTTTCAATAGAGCAATGGTGAGATAAATCAGATTGCAGGAGGCCGAAAGTAAATAGGTGGTGCCAACATATAACTTCAAATTGCTCTTTCCTGAAGTTCAGAAATGAATGAAATGGAGTCATGGGAAAGTTGCAGAGAAGCAAAAGAAATAGAAGAAAGAACTTTTTCAAATAGAAGATATCTAAGAATGGAGGCAGAGAGGAAGGAATCAGTGGGAAGAAAAAGAGCTAAGATATGCAGGAGAAATAAAATGATTGTTCAAGCAGAGACAATTAATAGGTGGGAGAGAATAGGATCGAGTTGGTGTTACCCTTCGAAAAAAGGGCCAGCTCCTCTTGGGGCAGGAGCAAATGAAGGAAAAAATGTACAAGGGTATACAGAAGTTTCATGGTATAGAGTAGTGGAGTTGAGAGCTCCTGTGGAAAAGCTATAATTTTTCAATAGGGAGGCAAGTTTGTAAGAAAGGTGGGGATGATGCTGTAAACTTGAAACTAAAAGAGAATTGAGGCAGGCAGCTGATAAAAGATAAATGAGGAAAAAAAAGAACTATCAAGGAGCAGTGAAAGCCTACATGAAATTAGGTCTCACAAATTGGTAATATATTCAAGTTAATTTAATTCAGAGACTTCCCCTACCCCCACCCCTGAGGGAGGGGAGGAAGAGAATAGAGACCTCGAATCAAGAAATGGTGAGAAATCACTAGGGATATGGATTTAAAAAAACCCCAATAACAACAACAGTCATGAAGGGAATGGGATGGAGAGATTCAAGGATGAGGTGTTGAAATAGCCATCAGTGAGTTCAAGCCTGAGCATGTTGGCATGTGGATACAGAACAGAGGTGTTAGAACAGGAGAGTGAGGAAGAACGGAGGGCTTGGTTGAGAACAAAGAGTACTTGGTAGGATAAAAGGCATAACAAAGGTGAAAAAATATAAGTCTGGAGTTAGAGATTGACATTTCAGATTTACAAATCTTGGTAGGAAAATAGTTTAAAGTAATGGTGAGATTTAAGTTATCACTATCTAGGTGAGGGGTGGAAATAGAGTGAGATGGACATCACACAAACTAAGGAAACAAGGAACTCCAAAGCCTTGTTGTTTTGGATGGTCTCCAAGATAGATGTTGGAGTCACCCAAGATAATGGTAGGGGGCTGGTTAGAGAAGAAGACCACATCAGGCATCAAAACCACTGAGGATGCTGAATTGTTCTATGCAAAGAATAAAGGAAAGGATGTTTTAATTGGAAAAATTGTCGAGTTATGGTGGCAGAAGAATAGTATGGGCTTAGTTGAGGGGAGCAATGAGTACAAAGGGAGCAATCTGAACATTTTCCTCCATAATAGAATGTAAGTGCCCTGAGGGAAGGGACTACTGGGATTGCATACCCAAGCACCTAACCCCAATGTACCTATATGTGTGTATGGAGAATGAATATTCAAGAGAATAAATGCAAAACACACGCAGGGTAGTTAAATACAAAGAGATGATGAGGGATGGCTAATGCAAAGCCAGTGAATTGGAAGGGAGAGAAAGCCAGTTTGGAGAGAGAGTGGAAAGTTGGGGGGGGAGTGGTCAGTTATGGATGAGGCTGGAAAGGAGAGATTGGGGCCAAGTTGTGAAGGCCTATAAGAATCAAACATAAATGGTTTATTTTTTATCCTAGAAGCAATAATGGGAACGATTTGTTGTTAGCCATGAATTGAGAATCCTTTCCAATTGGTAGAACCTCTGAGAACCTGTTCTCCGACGGCCTTTCAGTGCCCAAGATTAGCTCCATACTGTAATGCACTCAATAGTTGATAAGAATAGTCATCCAGTTAACTGAACAAGTTTAGTTCCAGCTCTGTTACTAACCAGCTGCATGATTGGGGGCAAGTGATTCCCCCTCTCTGGATCTCACTTTGTTCATCCATAAAACAAGAAGGTTAGATTAGATTTTGTGTAAAATCCTCATAGTCTAGACCTAAATCAATAAAAGGTGACATTCTATTATCCAACAAAACAAGAACATAGTGCAAAATTTTGAGTCTTTCACAATGTTATAAATGTTACGTGCCTCAGAAATATTTCAAGGAATTAATTATGATAAGGCTGGATAATAGTCAGCTCCAGTATGTGAAGTCAGTATTCCATATTCTTATTACTACATTAAATTCAACTAGTTGTTTACCATTAAATGCAATTCTGGTACACTGTGAGCCAATATGAATGTTGATATTTTACAGTTCATAAATGTATTTGTTTCTATCTGAAGCAGTCAGTAGAATTTTTTTTTCATAAGGAAAGCCAATTCAATAATGAGATTTTCCCCACCCCAGAGCCCCTCAATAACCACATAATAGAAAGGGTCTTACCAAGTTAAGCTGATAGCAAAGAAGCAAGGCTGTTATGGCCTCTTCTTAAAGGACCAATAAGATGAGCTGGGTTTCTATAAAGAAAGATGAGAAAACGTGAAAGACTTCTTCTAAGTATTTTATATACAATGCATTTTAATTAAAGAGAAAAACAAGGGAAAAATAAATGTCCTCAGGCAAATCACACACACACAAACACACAAAGGAATGAATAGGGACTGTTTTAAAATGGTGGTTCTTTTATTTGGGAGATGTGACTAAAACTTAATGAAATGAAGTTCCATAAGGCACTTGAGACCAAAGCCATCCTCGGGCAGGCACACCTTGGGTGCTGCTATGCTCACTTCCTCTCTTTTTATCCTGCCACTCAAAAGCCTCCATTAGCCAACCACTTAGCTGAAAAAGCAGAAGTTCTCCTTTGGATTATGTCAAGAAATTAGCACAAAGCACCAACTTTGCCTTTGATGTTTTGGGAAGCAAGCTTTATTTTTTTTTTGTCAAGCACTAACACGTTTATTATTTGTTCATCATTACAAGAAGATAACTTTATAATACTGAACAATTAGCTGGGAAGTTCAAAAGTTCATTCACAATGCTCGCAACTAGACTGACTGAATTTTAACTTTATTGCTAGGTTTGATTTTAAAACTAAATGGGCTTGGTAGAGGCATAAACTCTTAATCCTAGCATTCCAGGCTCTAATCCGTCTTCTTAGGTTTATCTCATAGCACTCCTCTTCATGTACTCTGTGTTGAAGTCCAACCAGACTATTCTTCACCCTGGATTCTTACCTGACCCTTTATTATCCTGACGCCTTTGTTTCTACCGCTGTCATGCTTACAATAGATTACTTCTCCATCTCTACGGAAATTCTTCCCTTCTTTTGAGGTTTAACTCAGATGCAACCTCCTTTAAGAAGAATTCCCTAAAATTTTCCAGCCTGCTCCAAATCAGGTGGCCTCTCTGTCCTTGAATTTCTTACAGGATTTCACCTCGTCATATCCTATGCATTTAATACATACTCCCTTTTATCACCCCATTAAGTCATAAGCTACTTAAAAGGAAGATTTATGTCATATCTATCTTTGTGTTCCCAATGCATATCCAGGGTTCCATATGTAATAGGTGTTTAATAAATGTTTGTTGAATTGAATTGAATACTGTGAGCATGGTCTCTATTAGAATTGTCAGGCCTCATTGTAATCTGTGCTTTATGACTATGTTATGCTTTCATTTTCAGGATTTAGAAGACTCATGATTATTATTCCTTTGTTCAGACAGCTTACACAATTTGAAAAAGGTTCTGGAAGTAGCCTGAACACATATTATTAAGTCTAATGTGAACCTCCAACCCAGTGATTATGGTAGAAGTTGGCTATATTATCCTCACAAACCCACTGGTTTATTTTGCTTATTCCTCTGGGTTAACTCAGTTTATTCAGAACTTGCTTTTCAGCCTCTCCTCACCCCAATCAGCTTCTTGGGAGTGAATGTAAACTCATAGGATGGTAAGAGTTGAAACGAGCCTTACAGATCATCTTATTTTATAGATGAGGAAACTAAGGCCCAGAGAAATGGGGCAGTGAGGTGGAACAATGGATAGAACAGTGAGCTTGGAATAAGGAAGATTCATCTTCATGAGTTCAAATCTGGCCTCAGACACTTACTAGCTGTATGATCCTAGGCAAGTCACTTAACTCTGTTTGCCTTAGTTCCTCATCTGTAAAATGAACTGGAGAAGGAATGGCAAAACACTCTAGTATCTTTAACAAGAAAACTCCGAATGAGGTCAAAAGGAGTTGGACATTACTGAAAGAACTCTACAATGATAACAAAAGACCCTGGGAAGGGAAGTTATTTGTCCAAGGTCACAGGCCGGTAAAAGGCTCAGCCTGGATTTGAACACAACTTTTCTACCTCCAAATTTGGTATTCTTTCTACTATATCAACCAGAATTTTTCTCTCTGTAGCTTCAACAACTTTAACTTTCAATGCCAACCATATCTGCTATTTATGACCTTTGGAACATCAAGACAAAATAATCTTTTATTCTAGTTCCATGGTCCTGAATATCTCTTCTTTCTGTCTTAGTTTTTGGGCTTATACCTAAAGGTTATACTTAATTCAATTTTTACCACTCTTTTCTTTTTTTCCACAATAGAATACATCAACAATGCTCTAAGTTGTACTTTTCAAACACTGCAGACAGAAATGGGATACTATGAGTAGGAAGCAGGCTGTCTGAAACAAACACTATAATGTGTTTAATTACATGTTATTTGGATGTCACTGTGACAGCTTGCTTACTCAGTTGGCAATGCCTTTCAGCTTTGTGCTCATGATTTTTGCTTTAGAAATATTATATGAAGGAGGAAGTACTATTAAAAACATACTATCTAATAAATAGCAGATGACTGGTCAGACTGGTCTAGCTCTTTCTTTCAAAAAGACTACCAATTTCCCTAATATAATAATCAATTGAATGAAATAAGTGCTACAGGATGGAGGCTCTAGCTCAGGCTGCATTGATTCTATCCAGCCACAACATGCAATGGAATTTTAAAACAAGCTAATTAAGTTTTCTCTGGCTTTGTGGATTAGTGGAGACAACTGAACCTATTAGACATCTATGGTTTTAAGAGTATTGAGAGTATTGGGTTTTTTTTCCAAATTTTTGAACATTTTTATTTAAAGTTTTGAGTTCCAAATGCTGTTTCTCCTTCCCTTGTCCCTGAGATGTTATGCAATCAGATATAGATTATACATGTGGAATTATATGAGACATTTCCATATTAGTCATTTTTACAACAAGATTCAAATAAAAGAAAAAAATGAAAGAAAGTGAAATTAGCATGCTTCGGTCGGTATTTAATCAATATCAGTTCTTTCTCTGGAGGCGGAGAGTATTCTTCATCATTAGTTCTTTGGGTTTGTCTTGGGTCATTTTATTGCTAAGAACAGCTAATTCATTCACAATTTTTCATTGACAATATTGCTGTTACTGTGTACAACGTTCTCCTGTTCTGTTCATTTCACTATGCATCAGTTCATGTAAGTCCAGATTTTTCTGAAATCCTGCTTGTCATTTCTTATAGCACAATAATATTCCATTACAATCATATGCCACAGCTTCTTTAGTCATTCTCCAATTGATGGGCATCCCTTTGATTTCTGATTCTTAGCAACCACAAAAACAGCTACTACAAATATTTTTGTGAAAATAGGCCCCTTTCCCTTTTTTTGGATGTCTTTGGGATATAGACCTAGCAGTGGTATGTCTAGATCAAAGTGTATACACAGTTTTATAGTCCTTTGGGCACAGTTACAAATTGTGCTCCAGAATGGTTGGATCAGTTCACAACTCCACCGACAGTGTTTCAGTTTTCCCTCATCCCTTCCAACATCTAACATTTTCCTTTTTTGTCATATTAACCACTCTGATAGGCGTGAGGTGGTACCTCAGGGTTGTTTTAATTTGCATTTCTCTGATCACTAGTGATTTAGAGCATTTTTATATGACTTTGGATAGCTTTGATTTCTTTGTTTGAAAACTGCTTTTCATATCATTTGACCATTTATTAATTGGGGAATGAATATTTTTTATAAATTTGACTCAGTTCCCTATATATTGAAAAATGAGGCCTTTATCAGAGATACTTGTTGGAAAATTTATACATATCGCTGAAATTTTCTACTCTTTCTCCAACTTAAAAAAAAGTTCTTTATGTGTTAGCTAGAGATTAAAAAGGATCTCCAATTATAAATGCTTTAGCATTGGTTCTCACTCTAATCAAGGGAATTTACTGAACAAGCCTAAAGAGAGATAATGGACAACTGGGGTTTCAAGACTCATTTTAGTCCCCCAAACAAAACCCCATTTCTCAAGAGGGATTAAAATAGTTCAAATGAAAGGGTAGCTGATCTAACCTCTAACAAAAAGGTAAATGATCAGCAAAACAATCTAAGAGATTTACTGAAAATAGTAAGAACTAGAGGATATCATGGAATCCAAAAAAAGGTTCCCAGCACATCCCTTCTTTCTCCACCTGCAATATTGTGCGTTCAAACCTCCAGAATGACTTCTACAAGGTTTTTTTTTATTGCTGTTAAAATAGATTATATTCTTTTAAAATTGTTTATCCATGTATGATTACTCCCATTTAAACTTAATCTTGAATTGGTTATAAATTCCATTCTTTAAACTTATAAAAGCTGAATAATTTCATAGAAGTGGGTACGTCCTCCAATGACGCCTTATTAAATGATTGAGTTGCTATAGCCAAAATGCCTCACAAGCTGGTGGCCACACTTGGGATGAGGTTTTTGAAACTCAGCCAGATGCAACAGGGAGCTTCTCACCTGGTAAGTATGTGCTAAGGCTTCCACTCTCATTCTATGTTTTTAAGATTCCTTACGTAGATAAGACAGATGTGCATAGATTTTCTGTTATTTGATTGACTATAGGAGAACCGCTATAAAAGCACACATAAAGAAGAATTGATAAAATTTAGATATCTTTAAGCCAAAATCCCTCATTTTTATAAATCAAGAACCTTAAGCTAAGAGGGGTTAAATGTCTTATCCTAGGTCAAAGGAATAGTAAATCCTACAATCATTATTTGAACCCAGGTCTTTTGACTCCAAATCCAGAGCTCTTTCTACTGTCAAATTATGGATATAGAATTCATCTGACAACAGCACAGGAATGGGTCTCATGGAGAACTGCCTTTGAGTCCTAAACCCAAGAAGGCTCCCTATCTGGGTTAAAGAGCCCATTGTTTTAACAAAGGAGACCTTCAGAATAAACCTTCACTGCATTTGGGTGCCACACATAACATGTTTACAGAGTTAACCTTTCTTAAATGTGTTCTACCATGGGCATCCTTTGGTCAGGGGCCTCCAAATTGAAATGTTTTGAGTGGCTGGAATCCTGGGTTTTGCTTCTGAGAGCTAATCTTAATCATTTAATTGTGATCATTGCTCCATTCAGCCGGCTCTCAGATTCACAAGGGCTCCTTTGTAGGACATCCCTACTACCATCAATCTGCTCTCCTAGATTTTGAACAGGGCCTGT